GTGAGCCCGTGCTTTACGGCGAGAAAGGAAGAGACTGTTTGCTGGAAGGCTTCTGGGAAACTTCCTCGTTCATAGGAAAGATACAGGACTCGAAAGTCTCTTTCTGCCCCGGACATTGCCGTATCTGGCTGTTGGTCCTGGAACATCTGTTCCAGAAAAGGCCAGATCGGAGCTAGAAAGAACCTACGTCCCTGATGGTATCACTGGATCCCCGAGTGTGTCCCCGCCTGCGCCCACCCTTCCTTCTGATTTCGTTTGTGTGATTGTGAGTTACCTTTGTGCCCAGGCCTGTTTGCGGAGGGGTCTCCTCCTTACTCACAGCACAGAGCTGACTTCCTGATCTGGTGAGCATCGGTGGGGTCTGGTTCTCTGTTGTTTTGTGGGAGACATGCCGTCTAATGGCTAAGGACACAAGCTCTGATCCTAGACACCCTTCCTTCCAACCCAGTTCTGCCACTTGCTGTCATGTCCTCTGGAGAAATTGACTTGGCCCTGTGTGCCTCGCTCTCCTCGCCTGTGAAATGGGTTTACTGTTCTTCCTAATGACATCACCAAACAGAGAGGGTTGCGTTTCTGAGGGTGTAATGAGGTAATGCAAGGATGGTTCACAGAATTGTGCCTGGCACGTTCCCTGTCTTTGCAACCACTGAGGCTGCCCCGGGGTAGGTTGCAGGTCACGCTTCACACTGATGAGCCACAGCCAAGACCACGAAGACGGCATCCGACGTGTCCGCTCAGCCCCAGAGACTCTCTTGCTGTGCCACTCTCTTCTCATCCTTTGCGTCACGCACGGATGACCCTCACCAGAAGGCTGGCTTTCCCGCTGTGGGTCTCCCACCTGGGAGAAACACAAATACGCATCATCTTCCATCTTGTGCCTGAATTCCGGTCACTCCCGTTCTGTCCTCGGACAGCTAGGGGCTGCTTCTGGTGCGGGGGCTGGGGGGGGGCGGGGCAGGGCAGGTAACAGAGCATGTGACAGTCCGTTATTGCCACATGGCATCGGAAGCTCTCTGTGTCCTGGTGCCTGCCTGTGTCTCCAGACTCCTCTCCCTGCACCCCAGCATTCGGTTGACACTCCTGCCGGATTCCAGGGCAGACCCCGCCATTCAGTCTCTCTCCTTCAGCCTCAAATTCCTCCTGGTGAAAGGGCAGTCACTCTGCCTCCCCGAGGCTTGTTGGGAGACCTGCAGGAGACGATAGATGTGAAACACGGAGCTGACATTACCTGGCCCGCGGAAGGCACTGAGTGAGAGGCGGCATCATCTGTCCCCCTTCTTGAATCCACAGCAGCTGGCCTGCAGATGGCACGATCTCCTCCTCTCTGGTGCGGCTGCTCACGTCCCATTGTGTACACGTGCCACACTTCCTTTATCCACTCCCCTGTTGACTGACGGTTGGGCGGTTTCCATTATCCTGGCTCCGGGCATGAAAGCTGCAGTAAATACGGGAGTGCCGGCAGCTCTCTGAGATGCCGATTTCAGTTCTTTTGGACATAGACCCAGGGGTGGGATTGCTGGGTCATATGGTAGGTTTTTTGGTTTTTAGTTTTTGTTGTTATGGAGGGGGGCACTCCGATATGAGCAAGAACCTATGACAGTTTTAGTTTTAACTTTCTGAGGAACCTCCGTAGTGCTTTCCGTTGTGGCTGCGCCAGGTTGCGTCCCACCGACAGGGCATGAGGGTTCCCGTGTTCCGCATGCCCAGCGACACTTGGGATCTGCTGTGTTTGGTAGTTGCTCTGACGAGAAGCTTCCTCACGTGTGCGGCCCGACAGCTCATTGTGATGTTGACTGGCCTTTCCCTGATGATTAGGGATGTGGAGCCACTTTCCATATGCCTTTTGGCCATTTGTATGGCTTCTTTGGAGAAATGTCTATTCAAATCCTTTGCCCATTTTTACATTGGTTTGTTTGTGTTCTTGCTATTGAGTTGGGAAAGTTTGTTATACGTAGTGAAAATCAACTCCTTGTCAGATATGTGGTTTGCAAATGTTTTTGCCCATTTTGCGGATTGCCTTTGCGCCTTGGTGGTGGTTTCCTTTTCTGTGCTGAAGCTTTTAAGTCTGATGTAGTCGCACTTGTCTATTTTTGCTTTTCTTGCCTGTGCCGTGGGTGTTGATTCCACGAGATCCTTGCCAAGACCAATGTCAGGCAGCTTTACTCTACGTTTTCTTTCAGGAGTTTCACAGTATCGGGTCTTATATTGAATCTTCAGTCCCCTTTGGGTTGATTGTCGTGTGTGGTGTAACAGAGGGTCCAGTGTCATCCTTCTGCACGTGGGCATCCGGTTTTCCCAGCGCCATTTGTCAAAGAGAGTGTCCTCTCCCCGCTGGGTATTATTGGCATCCTCGTCAAGATCAGTTGACTGTACATGCCTTGGGTTTATTTCTGGGTTCTATTCTGTTCCATTGGTCTGTGTCTGTCTTTCCGCCAGTACCATACTGATCTCCTTACTGCAGCCTTGGACTGTGTTTTGAAATGAAGGACTTTGGTACCTCCAACTGTGTTCTTCCTCAAGGTGGCCTTGGCCGTTCTGGGTCTTGTGTTGTTCCAGATGCATTTTAGGATTGTTTTTCTGTTGCTGAGAGATGCCGTTGGGATTTTGATAGGCATAGTATTGAGTCTTTCATTTTTCTTTTTAATGAGATGACGTTGCCTAATCAGTTATATGCTAAATCTGAGGATTGCCTTAGTTGGTTTTCAGTTACTGAACCACCCTTGCTTTCCTGGACTAACCCACTTGATCATGGTGTATTTTCTCTGAATGGATTGCTGGATTCCACTGCTGGTATTTTGGTGGGGAATTTTGTGCTTGTGCTAAGAAAGAACATTGGTCAGTGGTTTTCTTTTCTTAGTATCAGTGAAACGCTAGCCTCCTAAATCACTTGCAAGTGTTTCCTCCACTTAGTTTTCTGGAGGAAATTGTGTAGAATATCTGCGTCTGTCTGTTTCTCCTGTCGATATTTGGTAGAATTCACTGGCGATACCATCTGGGATTGTTGTCGAGGTGCTTTTTTTTTTTTTTTTTTTTAAAGATTTATTTATTTATTTATTTGACAGAGAGAGAGAGAGAGACGCAGCGAGAGAGGGAACACAAGCAGGGGGAGTGGGAGAGGGAGAAGCAGGCCTCCCGCCGAGCAGGGAGCCCGACGCGGGGCTTGATCCCAGGACTCTGGGATCATGACCCGAGCTGAAGGCAGACGCTTAACGACTGAGCCACCCAGGCTCCCCTGTCGTCGAGGTTTTAAACAACTGAGTCAGTTTCTGTAAATGATACTGAACTGTGCATGTTATCTCGCCTTGGGTAAGTTTTGATGGTTTATGGGTTTCGGGTAATCAATCCGTGCCCTCGCTGTTGCATTTATATATGTAGATTTGAACGTAATATTGCCGCCTAGTTTCTTTCATATTTGCTGGGTCTCTAGCAAAATCTCCTCTTTCATCCCTGCTATTGGTAACTTATTTCTTCTCTCTCTCTCTTCTTCTCCACTTTTCTTGAGATATAAGTGACACAGGCAGCGTAGAAGGGAAACAGCATAATACTTGGACTTACATATATCATGAAAGGATTACCTCAATAAGCTTAGTTGACATCCACCATCTCCTATAGACCGAAAAAGAAGAAAAAGAAAACAGTGTTTTCATTGTGAAGAGAACTCTTAGGATTTACTCTCAAACAACTTTCATTTATACCACACGGCAGTGTTCACTAGTCATCATGTTGTACGTTACACCCCCGATACTTACTTATCTTATAACTGGAAGTTATCCTCCAATTGTTTTCTCCCTCCCTAAATCGCCACCTCTGATAACCACAAATCTGATGATCTTTTCACACCCTGAGCCGAAAACAAGAGTCAGACGCTCAACCAACTGCACCACCCAGGCGCCCCATGATTTCTTTATTCTCCACATCCCAGCGAGCATTTTTATCTCTTGTCTTCTTGATGCTAGCCATTCTAACAGGTGTGGGGTGATACCTCATTGTGGTTTTGATTCGCATTTCTCCGATGTTTAGTGGTTTGGAGCCACTTTTCTTGTCCCTGTTGGCCGTTTGTACGTCTCCTTTAGAAAACTCTCTATCCACAGCCTTTACCCGTCTCCCGTCTTTAAATTGGATGATTAGCCCTTTTGCCGTGGAGTTGTATGAGTTCTTTCTATATTTTGGATATGAACCCCTTGACAGATAACACGGTTTGCACATATTTTTTCCCATCCTATAAGTTGTCTTGTCACCTCCTTGGTGGTTTCTTTGGTGTGCAGCAGCTGTTTAGTTACATGTAACCCCACTTGTTTCTTTTTGATTTTGTTGCCTGTGCTTCGGGGGTCATATCCAGGAATTCGTGGCCAAGACCCGTGTCAAGGAGCTTTTCTGTTATGTAGCCTTCCAGCAGTTTTATGGTTTCCGGTCTTACATTGGAGTCTTTAATCGATTTCAAGTACATTTTTGTGTGTATAAGCCAGGAGTCCAGCTTTCTTCTTTGACGTGTGACTGTCCCATTCTCCCAGCACCATTTATTGAAGAGACTGTCTTTTCTCTGCTGCGTATTCTTGATTCCTATGTCAAATATTGGTTGACGGTATATGCAGGGGGTCATTTCTGGGCTCTCGATGCTGTCCCATTGGTCTGTGTGTCGGTTTTTATGCCAGTACCACACTGTTCTGATGTCCCCGGCTTTGTCGTATGGCTAGAAAGCATGAAGTGGGATGTATCTTGCTCTGCTCTTCTCTCTGTTTTTCTTCGTTTCCTTCCTCAGTCTTGTGAGAGGTGTATCGATTTTATGGATCATTTCAAAGAAGCAACTTTTTTTTTTTAGAGATTATATTTATTTATTTATTTGACAGAGAGAGAGAGAGAGAGAGAGCGCGCGCACAGGTAGGCAGAGAGGCAGGCAGAGGAAGAGGGAGAAGCAGGCTCCCTGCTGAGCAGAGAGCCCGACGTGGGGCTCGATCCCAGGACTCTGGGATCATGACCTGAGCCAAAGGCAGCCGCTTAACCGACTGAGCCACCCAGGTGGCCCTCAAAGAAGCAACTTTTGATTTGAGTTCCTCTAATGTGTCTTGTTAGAAATATCATTGATTTCTGTTCTTTTGCGTTGGTAGATTCTTATTTATTCTTACGGGGGAATTTTCAAATGATGTCCATAGGCTTGAATATCCTTTTTAAGTAGATGAAAGCCGGTGAAACTTGAAAAGAATGTGTCCCTCCCCATGGTGAGATGCTTAGATTTTAGCAAATGTCTGCTTTTCGAAAGTACATGAACACCTAGGAGGAGGGCACAAGCCAGTCACACATGGATTGTTCTTAAAGTGATGCTTGAGAACAGTTATAAAACGTCTGCAGGAATTACCGTGGTTGACTGCAGGACGTCGTTTTGCATGGCGGGTCACGTGGGTGGACGCGATAATGGCTCTCACTTCTGAGACCCTGGTTATATGCCATCAGTGTTCTGAGCTCTTGGAACTGTATTATCTCACTGGGAGCACAGAACAGCCCTCGCGACTAGGGCTCACTGTCGTCCCCATCTCACAGATAGGAGACAGAGGCACGGAAAGCTGAAGTCGGAGGAATAATAACGGGTTTTCTTTCTTCTTTTATCACCATGTGTTGCAGTCTGGGTCCTTCCGGCCGTGCCCGTCCCTCCGCTACCTTCCAGCTCTTTGAGAACCTTCATCTTCACCATCCTGTCTAGACCCAAGGGCCAGGCGGAGCTGTGAGCACCGACGACGCCTCCATGGATCCAGTTCAGAAACGTAACTCAACACTGATTCCCGAATCTTCCCCGATGAGCTCTGAAGAGACCTCCCGGGAAGTCACAGCAGCCTCCCCTCCTTCCTTCTCAGAACTGCTAATGATGGGCCTCGGTGACCTCAAAACCAGTCCGGGCACCAGATGCCCTGCCCCTCTGCCAGAGGGGCTGCTCCAGCAGCGGTACAGGGATGAGAAAACCCTCCAAGAGAGGCGGTGGGAAAGGGCAGCGTCCCCTCAGAGGAAGAGAACACTTCTGGGGCCTGTGAGACGGCGACACCTCGATCACGTGGCACCTTACCGGGTCGAGAGGAAGGCCAGGATCCCTTCCTCGGGGGATAGGGATCCGAACAGATTCCGATGTGAATGTCGATACTGCCAGAGCCATAGGCCCAGCGTCTCCGGGATGCCTGCAGAGAGGAAAGGGGCCCCGCATCCTTCCTCCTGGGACACGCTGGTGCAGGGCCTCAGTGGCTTGACCCTCAGCCTGGGGACCAGCCGGTCCGGCCTTCTGCCCGAAGGGGTGCTCCAACAGCAGGAGAGAGAGGAGAAGCTCCAACTGGAGATGCAGCAGGAAAGCAAAAGAATGTTCCAGAGGCTCCTGAAGCAGTGGTTGAAAGAAAACTGAGGCTCTCGTCCTCACGTGACAGAGATCTGAACGGATTCAGACGTGGAGGCTGGTGTGGCCAGATCCTGAGCGTGGGTTCCTTTTGGGGACCGAACAGTAAGCGGTCAGAGAAGTCAGAGAAGGAGCAAAAGCAGCGTGAGGACTGGACACTCGGTCCGTGTGAGCGTGGAGCCAGTCCCGGGAAGGGCCTACCCTTTCCTGCCTGGAATTTCTGGGTCACCGTGGGGCTTTCTGTGGTTCACTGCGTACCAGAGGTCCTTAACTTCCGTGTTTCGGCTCCCGTGATGCATGTTGTCACTTTCCCACCCCGGATGTCTGTCTCTCCTCCCTGCCTCGTCGTCAGTAAGATACAGGGTTTCTCTGTAGCATGAATGCCCTGGTGATGGCCATGTGCTTTCGTGCCGTGTCACTGACCGCCTCCCAGAAGCAGCACTAGGTCTGCTGGGATGCCCGTGCGCTCACCTGAGCCCCACTTCCGAGAATCTGACGCTAAATCGAGAATCTGACGGAAAGGGACGTGGAACTGGAACGTGGGGGTTCACCACGGTGTTCTCTGTGTAAGCCATTATGAATACGCTGAGCTAAATGTAGGTCAACGTTTCCCTGCTTCGTGACATTGATGGTACTCCCCTTGGCGGAGTTTCTGATGGGTTGCCTCGTCATGCGTACCAAATAAATCTGCGTATGAACGGAAAATAGCTTTTGAGTTCTGGTTTCTTGATCCCTGTTGCTTTGTTCTTTGTTAGGTCTGAGGTGACGACATTTAAATCCTAGAGCAGCAGATCACGGTTTATCAGGCGGAGCTGTAAACTGTGCGGGTCTGGGGCAGGGGACAGGGAGGGCACCAGGGAGCAGCATCACGTCACCGTTTGCGGCCCTGCAGCAGGACCGGCCTTCACATGATCCAGGAGCAAGGGGAGGAGAGTCTTCCTGCCCACAGAGAGTTGGAAGCAGAGTCCGCTGCGCACGGTAGGAGCTCTCGCGGGATGGTGCCGGTTCCCCTGGCCTTAGGATCTTCAGGGGCCATTCCTCGTTCGTTGCCTGGTGGCCCTGGGTTGGTGCATGGGAACGGCAGTTGCATGCCTGCTGCGGGACCACCAGAGCATCGTTGAATAATTGGAGAGTCGTTTTGGGATTTAGGCACGTGCCTTTTCATTCCAGGATTCATTGAATGAATCGGTCTCCCCCCCACCTGGCGCCTTCCCCCCTCCCCACACACAAACACAGGATCCAATGCTGTAGCAGGGTAATATTGTCCTCATAGGCTCAAACTCCAATGCCCCCACGAAATGCCCATGCGATTCCTCTAAACTGACGATAAATTCTGCTTTCTGTCAGGCTCTATTTTTAGGTAGTCCCCAGGGCTGTGTTGCTGCCAAGATCTACGAGTCTCCCGCAGAGGGAAGTGGCTTGAGCACAGGTCTGTTTATTATGTTCTCAACTTGTGATCTCATCTGAGAGCTGAGGAGCTCACCTGACCCTGCCAGGCTTGTCTCCCACTTGAAGGAGAGGGTCAATAAAGCAGGACTTTTCTTTTTTCTTTTTAGATTATTTATTTATTTATTTGAGAGAGAAAGAACATGAGCAGGGGGAGGGGCAGAGGGAGAGGGAGAAGCAGACTCCCCGCCAAGCAGGGAGCCCAACGTGGGGCTTGAACCCAGGACCCCGAGATCATGACCTGAGCCGAAGGCAGACGCTTAACGGACCGAGCCACCCAGGCGCCCTAAAGCAGGACTTCTCTTTCTTGAAACTCTGAGGCCTCAATTCAGACTGGTCATTCGGGGTGTGGGGAGCAGGAGTAACATGGCATTTCAGTCTCTTGGTTGTGTACTAGCTGTGAGACCCTATGCTGCATATTTGCAAATATCAGCTTATGGAATCCGCTCCCAGAGACCCTTCGTGGAGCAAGACCTCAGTCTCAATGGGTAGGTGGGGAAGCGGAGCACAGAGAGGTTAGGTGACTTGCTGAGTGTCGCACGCGTGGGCACCGGAGCGGGGCGTGGCACACAGACCTAGGCGGGCTGCATTCAGAGCGGGCATCTCAACCAGCTCACCACCTGTAACCTCCACAAAGGCTGTGGGTGAAGTGCGGAGAACCGGTGACTTTGGTGGACGTTTCCCAGCTGGAAGCACCAAGTCTTAGGAGCTGCCTCGTTGAATCCTCTGCAGAATGCCCTGGGGCAGGGCCAGTCTTCCCCACCTGGCAGAGTCACAGAGACGGGAAGGAGGTGGCCTCACCTCTGCAGCCACGCCAACCACCATCAAATGCAGAGCCACTCGTGAAGGTTTCCTTGTCTCCCTTGCCTCCCCGACTCCGTGCTAGGCTGGCTGCCGGGGCGGGGCAGTTTGGAGTAATGGCGAGACGGTCCCGGGCCTCGGGACTTGAGCCTTCAATCAGGGAGAGCTGGGACACCCAGACGTGTGGCAGGGAGCCGTCACGGATCCCCTGTGCGGCTGTCTCGCCGGGAGACGAGAGGAGCGGGCAGGACCCGGGCGGGGCAGTGCGGACCGGGGGCTTGCTGGGGGCGCTCCTCACCACAGACTTACGGCCTACCCCGGGGGCCCATGGAGAATGGCTGGGTGGGTGTACCCGAGGGACTCATTGGTGCCACCCCATCCCCCCCCTCGAAGGCATGGTCCCCTTGCCTACGTATGGAGGCGCACGAGCATATCTGGGGGTCCCATCTGACACAGCATACGGTCCCAAGTTCCGGACCGGGAGCCAGAATCCAGTGAGGTCTAGAGATGTTCCGCCTGCCAGGTTCCAGACCAGAGACCCGGAGGCAGAGCCACCAGGAGGCAAGAAATCACAGGGAGAGAAGGGGGGTAAAATGGAATATGCTCAAAGAGAAAACTCTGAATGGACCTATCGCAAGTAAAGACATTGAATTTGGGAATTAAAAACCTTCCCACAGAGGAAGGGCCTGGGCCTGCTGGCCTCATTGGTGAATTCTGGTAAACTGTGGGAAGAGACAGTAGCCGTCCTTCATAGACTCTTCCAGAATAGACAGGAGGAGGGAAGACTTCCTTACTCAGCCTATGAGGACAATATTACCCTGCTACCGAAGCCACACAGGACAACACAAGACATCTATAAACCAATATCTATTACGACTGTCCACCCGTAAACCCTCACCAAAACGGCACACCAGATCCAACACCATTCACAAGGGAGTATGCAACTAACCAAGTGAGACTTATCCCAGGGTTGCAGTATTGCTTTAGCATTCAAGGTGCAATTAAGGTAAACACCATCATCATAGAGTGAGGACGGGAACCATGTAGTTGATCATCCCGATAGACAGAGAACAGACATTTGACAAAATTCAAGACCCATTCATGCTAAAAAACAAAACAAAACAAAAAACGCTCAGCCGCCTAGGGCTAGAAGGGCACGTCCTCATTCTGATAAAGGGTATCTAGAAGAAAAATGAGTCTCATGTCACATCCCGTTGAGTAGTGCAGGAATGAATGCTTTCCTCCTGAGAGGCGGACCAAGGTGAGGATGCCGGGGCCCACCGTTCCCGTCCAACACTGACTGAAGGGTCCGGCCGGTGCAGTCATGCAAGACAAAGAATGAGGACATGGAGAAACCGGAAACGAAACCTGTGTCCAAGCAAAGACTTGTACTCAGATGTTCACGGCAAAAAAGGGGAAACGGTCTAAAAGTCTCAACGGGTAAAAGGATAATCAAACTGGCAGTGGATGCCACTGGTCTACGAAGACGGATGACCTTGTGGTGTCTGCAGCAACACGGAGGAGCCTCCACGGTGTTAGGCTACGTGAAAGAACACGGACACACAAGTGCGCCTGAAGCATGAGTCCGTTTACGGGAAATGCCCAGAAAGGGCAAACCTACAAGAGATAGAAATTACCTCAGATGTTGCCTCGGCCTGGAGGTAGGAGTGGGACTTGAGTGCTGACGGATACACAGGGTCCTTCTGGAGGGATGAAATGTTGTACAGCGGAATCCTGGTGAAGGCTGCGCAACTCCGTAAATCTACTACAAGTCACTGCATTGCAGCCTTTAATTGGGTGAACTTCCTGGGAGATAAATCATAGGCTTTATTATTTTTTTTTTGTAAGATTTTATTATTTGGAGAGAGGGAGAGAGGGCATGAGTGGGGAACAGGGGTGGAGGGAGAAACAGGCCCCCCGCTATGCAAGGAGCCCAACGTGGGGCTCGATCCCAGGACCCCGGGATCATGACCTGAGCTGAAGGCAGGTGCTTAACTGACTGAGCCACCCAGGCGCCCCAAATTACAGCCTTTAGAAAATGTAATGCAGATGTCTAAGTACGTCCTGGAGGAAGAGGTATGCCATTGACTTTATAACACTAAGAAACTGCCCCATCTCTCGTTCCATGTTCTCTGGGTCCTGCCCGCGGGACCCATCATCACCTGCCTCCTCCGTGTGAGCTAGCAGCTCCCGCCAGCCCAAGCCCTGGGCACAACGGAACAGAGTGCTGGTGAGTGCAACGTCTGCGCGCGTCTGCGTGTCCGCGTGTCCTCGTGCGCGGGCAGCCACTGGGTGAACAGAGTGGTTGTCTCAGAAATCTGTGGCTGGGGCCACGTTCCCATAGTCCATGCTGCATCTGAAACCCACTTAGGACTTTTCCATTCTTCAGGAATCCCATGGAACCGGCTGCGGTGTCCCTGGTAACCAGCCTCACCCTTCACTTCAACCTCTGGCCCCAGGAAGACATGTGTAGACTGGGGAGGGATGTTGTCTCCCCCCACCCCCACGCGCACGAACACACACACACACACACACACACACACACACACACACACACACAGGGGCCCCTGCCTCACTCAGCAAGCCAGTGGGGATCCACGGCAGAGGGGTAACCGGGACAATGGAAATCCCGCTGCCTTTCCATCCTTGAGGCCCTTCTCCCTCCCCTCCGCCTGCCTGAGTGTCCTGTAGAGAAGGGGACATTGGCGCATAAACACACCCCTGAGTCCTTGAAATTATTCTCAATATGGCTGTAAAGGAAATACGTCACCAATAGCTCCTGACCTATGAATACAGAAAGCAAACTGATGGCTGCCAG